CGCTTCCTGTAGATTTTGACTACAATACTGATTAATATATTCCTGCGCTGTATGTGAAGATAAACCCCCTCTCCTTGTTCTTTTTGTTTAACAATGTGAAATCTGCTACTGTATCAGGGAGCATCCATGGTGGTATTGTAGGCAACGGTGCTGTTTGACATATGTTGATCTTGTCCAGATTAAGGTCAGCTGCTGTCCACTGTCCACCCAAAGCTCTTCAATTCCGTCTTTTCTTTTTCCCAGCATGGATGGAAAACAGTTTTTGTCGGATGATTTTGACCATGTCCTTGCAAATTTGCCCAGTAATTCAGTGTCAGTTGCTCTCTTCTTATTTGTAATGGCATCTCCCCCATTTCTACTTGGAGTGCTGCTGCAGATGTTGTTTTGAATGCACCTGAACAAAGTCTTAACGCTTGATATTGGATACTATCCAACTTACGAAGACTTGTTCTGGCAGCAGAATTAAATACTACACACCCATAATCCAATACTGACCTAATCAACCCAGTATATATAGCTTTTAAAGATTTCATATCAGCCCCCAGTCAGTTCCCACTCAGCACCTCATGACATTCAACACTTTCTTGCATCTGTCTATTATTTTCTGAATATGTATAGGCCATGTCACCCTTTCATCAAACACAATCCCAAAATTTTTAATTGTTTTCGCCTCCAGCTTCTTCTTCTACGATTCATTTAAGGTAGGCGAACCACTGCGAGGCGCGCCACCTGCCGGATCGGATGACTGACGTCATCATTAAACAGTACAAATCTGACAGTCCGGTTTTTTTGTATGTCTGCTTTGACCAATCAGAGCCCAGAAGGAAATTAACATTATTAGATGTTCTTTTTAGATTTTATGTGTGTGTGTGTGTGTGTGTGTGTGTGTGTGTGTGTGTGTGTGTGTGTGTGTGTGTGTGTGTGTGTGTGTGTGTGTGTGTGTGTTTGATTGGTAGGGGAGACCGGGGATAGTTGTAACATTTTTGACATTTCTGTCTGTAAATTGGAGCTCTTTTAAGGTAGTGGATTCAAAATGTA